CTAAAAGTGTGATGTTGCTCTGGGACACTGACAATGCTTTCTGAAATGCTGAACATAGGGTTTTGCTCCCCAAAATACTGTCTGCAAGATGTTGTAGGGACTGAAGGAAAGTCTAAGGCACATCTGAGTTTGAAAAACTCTCTCCTGTATTCTGTAACTCACCCTCTGGGATTGCTTTGGGAGATTCTTCTGCTTGAAAGAATGAGGATTTCTTCACCAGTTCTCAAACAGAGACTTTCTGGAGTTGGTATATAAGAGAAATAGGTGTGTGCATGAGAGCAAGCTGCACTTCCAATAGCTGGAGCTTCTGCAGCAGAGTATGGTACAACTCAACCATCCTTGGGCGCTACCTGCAGCAGCAAGTGCTGCTGAGATTTACAGAGCACTCACTGTTGAAGAGCATAAACATATTTCATTTGATGTGGCAGAGCAGCAGCCTCACCTTTACATGAATGCCCATCTTCTGCTAGCTGGAAACCTTGCCTGCAGTAGCACTGATAGGAACCGTAAACATTGGCACACTCCTGGCTGCAGGGACTTGTATCACATTCGTTCACATCTGTATCCAAAGCAAAGCCAAAACATTGCACAGCAGGTCAGAACAGTAACTCCCACCACATCCTGCCCCTGGGAACAGCTGTTACTGGATCCTTCTGGACAGGGTGGATAAAGGGGGACCAATTCACCCCCCAGTTCAGCTTCTGCCCCCTTGGCCCCATCCCGTGAAGCATGAGGACATGTGCTGCACCTACATTTCATTCCTATGTATGTCCATGTAGAGGCATGCAAACATGTGCTTCACATCTGATATGTCACAGCTAGTAAAGAAACACAATTGTCTCCCAAAAAAAAAGTATGTGAAGGAAAGGAAGAAAGGAGAAACAAAAATGAAATAACCCAAGTTTTGCTGTAGTTGAAATATTTCAAATGAAACCCCAAAACTTTGAGACACTTGGCTCACTTCACGATGAAGAAAAAATATGTCCTAGTAGCATTTTAAGTGCTATACACCATATATGTTGTAACTACAGGAGTCTACATCAGCTTTAATGCCTTCATAAGAGAAAATAAATAGTAATACACTCAGAGCTCTTATCTTGCAGTGGAAACAGATGAATTTGTGAGCACTGCAACACATTCCAGTCATCTGTACCGTAAGGCTCCTCCACTGGAGATGCTCTCTAACCCCAGGAAAGCACCTTGGTACCCACTAAAACTGTACTGCTCTCAGCTCTCTATATTGCAGTATCTTCCAAAAGTGCCATTTCCCAAACCAGTGAAATAGCTCAAGGACAACGAGTGCTCTGGGAGGCGAAACTGCCAAATGCAAAGGCAAAATAAGAGCGTCCGAGCACCTGGCCTTCTGAGGGGAAAAGATGAAAATCGCTATACAATAAGTTGAGAGTTGAGTTTTCTTTAAAGAGAAAAGAGGCACCCAGAAGGTGTATGGTATCTAAACCTTTTAGTGATATCGTGACCCTGAACAGGCACCGGGGAACTGGCAGCTCTGCCAGTAGAAAGCTCTCCCACAGCACCTGGTTGATGTGTTAAGGACAAGGGATTAGGACTAGGGCTTGTCAGTTCCTCTCTGACAGCTTGGAGGCTAAATTCAGAACCTACCAATCTGAGCAGGCCTACCATGGGGTCATCATATTTACATCTCTGCCACCCTTTGATCCACAGCACAAGCTCCACACCACGGGAGCGCCGGTACCTTCGCAGTGCTTCCCATCGTAGGACAGGCGGAAGCCAGAAGAGCAAGTGCAGTGGTAGGAGCCAGGCGTGTTCTCACACGTGTGCTGACACAGGCGCCCGGGGTAGTTCCAGCACTCGTTTATATCTGCCAGCACAACAAGCAAAGACACAGTCAGCTTACAAACAAAAACACCAAAGGAGATGCAGGAGGATATTCTAAAAGATGTCAGAGTGATTTGTAGACCACAAAATGCTGCAACTTCAGGTTTTATGCCATCTACCTTTGTGCTCTAAATGGTCTATGGCAGCAATAAAATCCAAAGTGCTGCATCATGGTCTCTTATGGAGAAGACTTCAGGAAGATAAATTTCCACAGCGGGGGAAGCATAACCTATAGAAAAGTGCTTTGCAAATGACTTTAATCAATAACCTGCGGCCAAACTAAAGCAAGGACACCTCAGCCGCAGGCAGTGCCGCAAGAGCTGCGCAGGCGGCAGCGCCCGGAGCAGCGCCCCTGCCCTCCAGCCACCGCACCAGCAGTTACTGCACTGCACAACCAACCACCGTGTCCTCTGCAGTGGTGCTAACGGCGCCCGGGGCGCTGAGGCTCGGCGCCACCGTCACGGCCCTACCCCTACGTACCGATGCCGGGCC